ACTCACCGCACTGCAGGAGGCTCCATGTGACAACCAGCACCCCAAGAGCCATGGAGGCTGGCCGGTGCTCCCTCGACATTCCGGGGTGCTCCCTCACTGCACCGTTCACCGGAGCGGAAGCACCTCCGGTCCCTCACTCCGTTCGCAGCACCACTCACACTGACACACACCTCGGCATGACGTCACTCTGGAACGCCATGAGCCTAGGTCAAGGTCACCGAGGTCACTGTCCTAGAGGTCAAGGTCATCGAAAATCACGGTCAGCCGTGATCACGGTCGCCCAAGTCAAGAGCACCGGTCACTCAAAGTCACGGTAATCGCTATCACCGTTTGCTCTTGTGGCTCCGTTTATCACAGTTGCCGTCTCACGCACACTGACTGTCATAAGCCCTCTCGGTATTGGTGCAGCACTGTCTGTCGCGCGGAGCGTACTGACGACCTCGGGGCGGGTGCCTGCGCTACTGGCGGGACCCGACTGGCCGCCGCCGCCGCCGCCGCCGCCGCCGCCGCCCACCGGCCGCGCGGCGCGCCATCGAATCGATGTTCTCCACGCGGAGACGGCGGCGAGCGGCGCGGCGACAAAATCGGCTCTGATGAGGGTGTCCGCTGTCCGCAGTCCCCAGAGTATCCTTTGTCCGCCGGTACTGAGCAGTCAGGCTCCCCGCGTCGAGCCGCGGGTGTCCTAATGACCTGTTCCGCGCCCCCAGGGACAGACGACCAGCGCCGTGGCCGGCCAGAGGTCTCTGAGGGCCCCGTTAGCAGCCTCCGAGACGCCAGGGGCGGCAGACAGACAGCGTATTGTCGCCACTCGCTGCAGCACGATATCGGACCCCTGTCGCCGTGTCCTTGCCGTCGGATCGCGTCACGTCCGCCGCCGAGAGTGGCTCAGGTCAACCGTGACGGCGGCCGAATCTGCTGACATTGGGACAGGACGACAGACGACCCACGTCGGATGCGACGCAATCGACGAGGAGCGGCCCGACCGGCCGACGTCTGTCCGAGCGGGAACGGAGGCAGGAGCGAGGACGTGGTGTGTGCGGGGCGGAGAAAAGAAGGAATGGTAGACGTTGCAATGACAAGGAATGGTTGAAAAGAGACGGTAAACATTAGATAGTAGGATGGAGACAGGTGTAGCATATATGTAACGGGAACAAGTTTAGCAAGGTCACGGAGTAGGGGCAGGTAGAACATTGACACAATTGAGACTGATAAATGAGTAAGGACACGGAATGGAAATTTGCGAGGCAGGAACAAACTTGAGGAACAACGACATGGAATGGAAGCTTGTGGGAGCATTACAACTAATTAGGATCGAGAGAGCTAAAACAACAATACGTTGCGCAGAAAGGACTTAAGTAAAAAAAAAACTAGTCAATTTGCATAAAAAGCGATGTCCCATGGTTCAAAAAGATCAAAAATGAATATCTACCAAATCTTACCGAAAAATTTTCACTGGTTCTCCAGATATTGGAATTTTACTTTTGTTTACTTTTTGGGACCTCCGCTGTTCCTATACGTCATTTGGGAGCAATAGTTTGGCATCCCTAAAAGTGCGGCAGACGATGCGCACAAAGCAATATATGCCACCACGTTTTAACGATGGTTTTAGTATAAGATTTCAAAATCGTTGAATCTCCGCTGACGTCACAAAATCTAAGGGGGCATTCAAATGCATTAGCCCCCTAGGATATGAAAACTGCAAGTTTGAAATTAAGTATCTCCGAATTAGAACAATTATCGATATTGTAAGTGTCCAAACCCGTAATTGCAAGCCAGGGACCCCAATTTGGCTATCTCAACTCAACACTAATGTGGTGGGATGGTCACTTCAACTGAGCATAACGTCAGATCGGATGACTGGCAGAGGTTTCGCGATGTTAATTAAGCCTTGCCGCCTTTAAATGTACACACAACGTCCAGTGCAAGCATGATGCTCGTACATAGGAAAGCTGATAATTGGACGCCGATATGCACCTGAGAAAGCGTTAAAAGATGTCATATTTTTCACATGATATTCGACTGATAGCTAAACAAAGACTTAATGATAAATGGTTGTTTTTGATAAAATGATGGACATCTTTTAGAAAAATGTCAAATGGTTATTCATGTGATTCTGATTTTCTTACATATTTTTCTCGCCTTATAAACAATTGGGATTTTTGCGACATAGATCACTGCCGAGTTCTAGCCGCCTTAACCGAGCTGCTTTATCAAAATCGAGCCAAAATAAGAAGCCCTCGATCAGTTTCGCTGCACTTGGCGCTGGCTTGCTACGATGTAGCTGATCTTATCCTGTAGTCTGCCTCTGAACGAGTGGCTCTGAAAGGGATGGCATCAAAGGCCATTACTGAAATCCCATCAACACTAGCCGCGTTTACATAGGGCTAGTTGCCAGATAGTGGAATTCCACTAACGAGACATTTTTTCCACTAACGAGACATTTCAGGCACCTTCAGATAATTCTGACGACCTATCCGGCCAGAAGGACCAAACCGATCGACAAAAATAAATACATCGTGGCGGATGAACACTAAAGAGGTACTTCAGGCTTAGACATAGTATAGATGTCGCAACTCGCGGCCTTCCCGGCAGTAAGGGCGAGGTATAGATGACGTTACTGCAGCAAGTCACTGGAAAGTGCGAGTCGTGGAATGGAACGGAAGTTACGGAACGGTGGCTTCTTAACGGAAGCTTATTCGTTTTATTTCCATTTTTAAGAATTGATTTCGTGCGCTAGGTTAACAACATTGTCTTCTTTTTTCATACGTCTCCACCCCCCCCCCCCGTCCCTTCCATCCTTTGGATCAGCCAGTGTGCAGCAAGAGGGTTCATCGGAGAAAAGCAACAAAGAGCAATCCTCCCTGAGCCTGTCAGGTCAGAAATAACCTGAGCATAGGCGGCGGAACGGGGAGGGCACCGGGGCACCGTGCCCCCCTTTGATTTCGGCCTGCATGGAAAGAATGGGACCAAAAGTCGGCGCTGCCCCCCTTAATTGAAGGTGCTCCGCGGCTACTGAACCTGAGAACCGTTCGTTATGCCCTACAGCCCACGCTTCTTAAAATTTCAGTAGTAGTCAGTTATCTGGCCAATGTTTCCGTATAGGGGTTGGCAAACACAACTGAGCCTCGTGAGTGGGATGAGTACTGGACACAGAAGTGGACAATCTGTTGGCAAGAAGCCCGCAAGGATAATATCTCGAAACTCAGGACTACGTATACAAACACTTTAAATGCATCTAAATCTATAATCGAAAGCCGCATTGTTGTGAACTACCGGCACGTGCGTCCAATCACCATCAAGAACGGAAGTCCGACCTACAGCAAGCACGACAGTCCGATCATAGATGTATTGAAAAATAACTAGCAACTTTAAACATCGCCTTCCTCAGTCACGCTCTACACCGCATCACATAAGAAAACCGCCAATATCGATTACAAAACACACATAAAGGAATTCCGTAGGTATAGATCAGAGGAATACTTCACCTCCTTTATCTGGCGCGTCAATAGGTATAAAGTAATCTTTGGCGTCTACGCACTAGCAACATCTATAATGCAAACAGCAGTTCAGAAACCATCCACTAAAATTGTAACAAGGCAAGGGTTGGTCAAAATAAATTATAGTCATCGTGATAAATAGCAAACGAAATACAGAACAAGCACAACAAAGCATTCCACACTCGTTTAGACTGTACAATATGCCTACATAAGACATTGCAGCAGTGTACAAGGAAAACATTCTTTAAAGATGCTAACGTGGGGAGTTTTAAAAGTTTGGTGAACACAGTTACGACTTACGAGTCACTGCACAAGAAATGTAGCGCGGTCGCCAGCCGGCCCAGGCGAAAGAGTCGACGGAGACGGCGTCAAACAAACCCGAGAGGGGGTAGTTTCATCCGCATCAGCGGAGAAGCTCTCTCTACCAAGGTCGTCAGTTACCAGCCGCCTGCCGCAGCACCCTGCTGGCGATTTGATAGCTGCTCTCATTCTCAGCTGGCTGAGCGCCATGTGCCGGGTCATCCGGCTCCATGATTTCCCCTTTCATTAGCAGCTGCTGTTGTAGTTATTGTTGTTGCGTTCCTTTCAGCCGCTGCCGCAGCATAGCCGTACGGTTCTGGATGGTTCTCACGGCGGCAGCCAGGGTCACCAAATCCGTCTCCCCGTAGCCACACCAGACTCGGGAAAATGTACCGAGATGTACCGAGCCAATGTTGCAGCACTCGCGGCATTCATCGGTAGGACTCCGCCCAATCCAATGTCGGCACTGGCAGGAGCCCGACCAGTGGTCCAAACGAAACTGACGAAAATCGACAGCTGATGAGCGGTCCTCCACTGACGCCGGACGGGTGGCGACGGCGCGGCCGGTCCTGGAGCTGGAACAGCAGAATGGACCGGCCAGGACACGCGGCTCATCAGTCCATTCGTCCTGCTACTCCCCGTAGACCCCAGCTCCTTCGCTGCAGGTTCTCGCGTCTGCCGACCCGTCCGTCCACACCCACGCGGCTCGATAGGGGAGGGGAGGGCAGATATCGTTACGTCGCTTGAAGCAGTTCAGCTGCCGAGGCTCTTTGTCGCAACGCCGCCAGCGCCGCGCATCGCAGCAGCACATACCGTGGAGTGCCAGCCTCTTCGCGGCAGACGCGGCATCGGGCAGCAGGGCACTCCACGTCGTTGCATTGTGGGCATCCGGCCTCGGGAGGCGGCCGATGCAGAGCAGGTACTGGCGGATGTCGATAACGACTGCACGGTCGGCCTCCAGGACGGAGCCAGGACAGCGGTCGACCCATATCGACCGGCAGGCGCGCGCAGCGTCGCGCGCGCGCCTGCCGTGGCGCGCCTGTCGCGCGCGCGCGCCTGCCTTGCAGATAGTGCCACGTCGATCGGCGCTACCGTTGGGACAGACGGCGGTCGACCCATATCGACCGGTACCATCCGTCCGGCCAGCTCCTCCAACACCGCTCTTAGGGCGAATAGCTGTTGTTGTTGTTGTTGGTGTTCCCCTCAGGGCCGGCTGGGGCCGGCCTGTAACCCCGTGAGGGGCTCCTTGTGGCGGAGGTAGCCGGCGGCCAAGGCCGCCACCAGCTCGCCGTCCTTCAGCTGCTCTGGTCGGATGTGGATGTTGCCCGTCAGTCGCAGGCGGGCGCCGGCCAGGCACGGGCACCTGAGCAACACATGCTCCGGGGTGTCGGCGCCCTCTCTGCACACGATGCAGCGGGCTGCGGGGCACGCCTTGAGGTTGCACTGCTGGCAGGTCGGGATGGGGCGCCGCCCGATACAGTGCACATACTGCTCCGAGCGACCCCAGTGCCCGGCCCGCAGCTGGTGGACGTTGACGGCGGCATCCCGGTCGAGGTTGTTGAGCGGAGCCGGCATACGGTCCCGCATGATGTCCTTGAAGAAGCTGGACGGCCATTCCTGCCGCCAGCGGTGGGAGGCGCAGCGTGCGACGGCCTTCGTTAGCGTCCTCACGTCTGTTGCTGCTGCCTCCTGGGGTAGGCCGGAGGCCTCCTTGGCCAGCTCATCGGCCCTCTCATTTTCCCGCAGGCCGCAGTGCGCCGGGACCCACTGGAGGCGGATCGGTGACCCTCGGCTGGAGAGAGCGAGTAGGTCCTCCCAGATGGAGATCCCTAGGTGAGTCGTCTGGGAGGAGGCGCCGCTCTCCAGCATCCTCAGGGCGGCCTGGGAGTCGGTGCAGATGACTATTGGGTCGTCTGCGATGTCGGCGTCGGCGTCTCGGATGGCGTTCAGGGCCGCCTTCAGGGCACACAGCTCTGCCCGCGTACTGGAGCAGAGCTGGCCCGCTGGGACTCGGACCTCCCGAGTCTCTCCCGACGGGAAGGTGATGGTGGCACCGCCCCCGCCTTGGGAGACGCCTCCCTCCGCCGAGCCGTCCGACCATATCCAGGTGGTGCGGGGCGGCAGATGTTCCAATGTGGCCTCTGCCGCTCCCCTCCGTATGTGCGCAGGGGCCGCTCTCTGGCCGCCGGGGCCGACGTCCAGGCAGAACGTCACGGCTTCTCCATGGTGGTCCCACGGTGGGATAGTCTTTGTAGGGCGTCCTTCCACTTTGACGTCGGCCGCGCCTGTCCAAGCCAGGGCGCGGTGGCCGACATCACGCCATCCGGTGGTCGTCCTCAGGCGGGGCGCGACGTGCATCTCCCCGACGGCGTGGAGCGGGTCGTCGCCGGGCAGCGAGGCGGCCAGGCCCACCATGCGGGCGGCCAGCGCCGGGCATCGTACTCGCGCCGGCGGGATGCCGGCCTCGGCCATCAGCGGCGCGGTCGGGGTCGAGGCCGTGCAGCCAGTGACCGCACGGGCCGCCGCTCGCAGCTCCCGCTCGATCAGCTCGACGTGAGCTTCAGACGCCGCCGGGAGCCACGCTGCTGCCGCGTACTCCAGGGCGCCCCGAACGTATCCGTTGGCAACGGTCCGTAGTTGCGCCTCCTGGAGGCCCCAGCTGCGACCGGTCAGCTTCCTCAGCTGAGCCGTCCTGGGCTTCACTTTCCGGCGCAGGTTCTTGCAGTGTTCCCCGAAGTGGAGGAGTCTGTCGAAGGTGACTCCTAGGAGTCTCAGGTGCGGGGATCCTTTGACCGATGTTCCGGCCACCTTGATCTAGGGCGAATAGCTCGCCGCGCGTGCTAGAGCAGAGGGCGCCTGCCGCGACACGCACCTCTCGGATGTCGCGGTTCGGGGGGGGGGTGTGGCCCCTCCTCCTCCATCTAGCACACCATCGGTGGCGGAGCTGTCTGACCAGATCAAGCTCGCCTCAGACGGGAGCTCCGCCAGACGACTTTCCGCCGCCTTGGCTCGCCAGCCGTCGCGCCCAAACTCGCTTCAGACCGTGAGTCTACAGCCGTGGCTTCGCCATGGTAGCCTTGGGCGGGTTGTCCTCAGAGAACGCGTTCGCATTGGCGAGGAGGCGAGCAGCGCCACGAGTCCTGAAATGACCAAACAACATCAATAGACAATCAAAATTGTGAAAATCGGCATTAACTGCGCAACTGATGTTTGCTTGTTTGTTTATTTGGGTTTACGGGCGCTGCGGTGGTCATTTTGCACCCATGACGCTGTTCTGGTGAACCTGCGCAACTGAGCAGTGATCATGCCTTAACTTATGGTTGGCGTAGTGGCAGGGTTCCACCTAAAATTTCGGCGCACGTCAGGTGTAACGTCACATGCGCCAAATTCAGCGCATGTCAGTTGGGCAAACTAAGGCTGCTGGAATAATATAAAACGAGGGCACCAAAAATTGATCCTAAATGACCATACTTGGACAATTATGCAGACCCTCTCTGTATCACCAATTGTCAGAAAACAAGCGGGTGTTTCAAGGAGCGTTAGAGAGTCATGAAGCCAGGATAAAACACAGTGCTATTTTCTCAAAGCAGCTTTTACATGATAGAGTTAGGTAACTCTCTCTCTCTCCCTCTCCCTCTCTCTCTCTCTCTCTCTCCCTCTCCCCCTCTCTCTCTCTCTCTCTCTCTCTCTCTCTCTCTCTCTCTCTCTCCCTCTCCCTCTCCCTCTTGGAGGTTGAAGGTTAGTAGGGAAGGTAAGGTCAGGAAAATTTCTGCTTTTTATTTTTCACTGGACTTCAGTCTTCATCAACACATGCATCAAAAATATCATCTGTTTGAGCATCTTCAAGCCTCAATATACAACAAGGAGTACCACAACAAATTAAAAATTTATGTCATGCCAATATATGGTTATGATTTTTACCACCAGAATTGAATTGAATAAATGCCTATTGATGCCTTACCTAATATTTTGATGCCTGAAATCTGATTAACCAAGCATTTTTCTTGTGTTGGCAGTCTAAAATTTGGCTGGCTTGAGCACGATGCTATTGCTCTAGCAGAATCTCAAACGGATGTCTACCAAGTGCCACTCCCAAGAAAGTTTTTCAAGATTCTAAAACCACAAAACTTTGTTGATGCCTGATCGTGTGATGGTTAATCAAATGATAGCACTCCATCTGAGGCCAGTTTTACAAACAGAAAATAGCCACCTGCCGGATTATTTTGCCTAAAGGCTAATTCACATATGGAGCGTAAATGGTGAAGCCCTCCCTGCTTACATGACAATCGCGTTTACTCTCTGTATGTTGTACCTACGTGGAATGGATATATAAGGAGAACAATTCCAGGCAGCTATTTTTGTTGGTAAATCGGGTAAAGTAAAACTGGCCTCTGAATGAAAATTTGAACTGAGTGAGATCTGTCGGCTCTTTGGTGGTTTGAATAGGAGTTGATGATTTTAATTGAAAGATTAAAAGGAAAGGGTTTCAAGACAATCGGCATGACAAACCAACACCTTACCTGCAGTTCAAGTTTGTCGATTTCTTCATCAAAATCTAGCCTTCGTCTAGTCCACAAATCAAGATAAAATTACCGGATAGGTACAACTTCTTCTTATTCTTCTTCTGCACCTCACCCGCCGCCCCATACTCTATCCCTTATTCTGATAAATATATTTACATAATTTTCACGAGAATGCCACTCAATGGGGTAGAGCTAAAAAAGTCCAGGGCTTAAATTTTGAGCTATAGACTATAGAGTTCTCAGTTTTTTTTGTTTTTGTTTTTTTGCTCGGTCGGCCTAGTGCCATACCCGAGCAGGGGGCAGTTACTCCGGCAATTTTCGCCGGGCAGCAAGTCTTACGTTAAACCGATTTTGAGACACCCAATATGTCTTCGGCACGCCGCATTTGTCTCTCACTGCCTGCGAATTCGGCGATATGATTGGTCGAAGGCCGAGGCTATGGGTCCAAGAAAAGGCCAAGATTCCTGCCAAGATTCTTACAGATAGCCAAGGCCGATGACTGACGTGACTGACGGCATGTTACTGCCCTTGGCATATTGCCAATGCACTGCTCGGTCATATCGGCAGTAATGTCAACAGTCATATCGGAAGTAATATGGTAGCTAAACGCAAAAACCATTTGGCGTATAGCTACCATACTTTTCCGATAACGAGACATTCTAGATCAATTTCTCTACTGTTGGCGACATCTGCTGAGAAATCCCAAGACCGAACGCAAGCACATAAAAGTAATGCACTCTAAGGATGAGTTCGAAATCTGGGAAGTGACGGATTTCATTCCTCAATGCCTGTCCCAGCCTTCCCCAATCCCCATGCTGTTCGTTCCGCCATCTATTGCCATGTTTCGCATTCGCACTTCATGAATTGACCACCCCGCCAAGTAGGTTGGTATCAAGTTGGTATAGGTGTCGCATTGCATGATTTGATTGCTCTGGTCGATCAGGCTGAGCCGACTGTCTGGAGAGTGGAGCCGATCCAAAAAACGCAGAAATTGAAAAGACCGACTCCAAAGCAATGGCAGCATGCATATCAAAAGAGCGTAATTCTGTCATGATTGCGTCAGAAGCAAACATAATGGCAAGAGTTTCTTGTGTTTCGGTAGGCGCGTGTGGAGCCGCTGGACCGACCGGGGACGTACCCAAGGGGGGACGGACGGGGTGCGCCTCCCCCTAGGTGGTTTCAAGGCCCATGCTGGTAGAAGGCCCACGTTGGCCAAAATCACGTCGGAGACGAACGAAATTCATGGGAATCCCCCCAAAAATCACGTCAGGACAATCAAGGCTCTCCGACTCGCCTGCCACCTAGGGTTCTTCAATTTACTACATGGGGCCTCCTGTGAATAACCGCTAGTGTCTGTGTCTGCCCACTAGGGCCCCTCTGACTCCTCGGGTAGAGGGCCCTCTGTAGGTAGGAGGCTCTCTCTACGGGATTCCTCCGCTCCCCCCCCCCTCGGCCAAATTCTAGGTTATACGTGCCTGCGCTAAGCCGGGGTCGGAGGGAGGAGTTGACGACCGAATGACAAGGAGTACTCGTCCTGAAAGTAAACATTTGGAATACAAACAATCCAAAGCTGTTCAGTATATTTATATCATTCGAGAGCAGTGCCTTCAATTTGGATACACTTAGCATTCATTTCCCACACCCGTGTACACTCCACGAAGGCTTCTCCGCTGCGGACTACCGCTTCCGCCGATGCGTCAGTTCATACCCTGATGGCTTGCTGGGGAGGGTGGCCAAGTGTCGCTGTGCCGCCAGGTGTAGTTCATCAGCCGAGGCGTCGCGCTGCAGTGTCCCGATGTCCAGCCTGAAGGTGAAGTCTGGGAAGGCGACCACCTCCCACGGCGGCGCGCTGGCATGCAACCAGAGGATCGAGCCGCAGGGCGATGCCAGCCGCTCGCCAGGTTTCGTGCCCCACCCCACGCCAGCCCGTCACCGATTTCAGTCGGCTGGGCATCTTCCGCGATAGTCCTGAGGGCTTGCCCTCGGGGAGCGCGTGCGCCTTGGCGAAGAGCTTCGCTACCAGCACGTCTCGCCGGGCGGCCAGCGGGCACCGGCATCAGTCCGGACTTCACCATCACTGTGTGGGCTGGGATAAACAAGGGGCAGCCGGTGATATACGGGTCACCGCCCGCATCTCCCTCTGGAGGAGTTTCACGTGGGATTGTGGCGTCACCGGGAGCCAGGTGGCGGCCGCGTGCACCAGCACTCCACGGACGTATCCAGACGCTACAGCGCAGAGCTGTCGTTCCTCTAGTCCCCAGCCCGGCGCTGTCAGCTTGCGAAGCTGCTGGATCCGGGGCGCACTCGGGAGCGGAGACTGCGACAATGGGCCCCGAAGTGAGGAGCCGGTTGAGGGGGTGGCTCCGAGTAGTTTGAGACGGTCGGCTGCTGGAACCGATTTTCCGTCGACTTTGATGGGGCAGTCCACGGCGTCCGCGGCGCTCTAGGAGACGACGAGCAGCTGCGTATTTCACCCGCTACCAGCGGGTGAAACCAGGAAACCAGGAGCCCAGCGCACCACAGCGTCCGTCGCCTGCTGCGTCCGGCCCCAGCTCAGCGTCGTCTGTTTCCATTAACACTCTGAAATGACAAAACAATTAGCAATTAAAATCAAAGTTCAGCCCCGACCAAGTTTAATCCAACTTGCCACTTCAGCATAACACAGTGAGCTGTCAGAACGCTGTTCTTTTGTGCTTTGACACAGTTGCAAAATAGTTACCTTCATGCGTATACCATAGTAGTAATTACTGGTTATTATTATTGGGGGAATTTTTGGCAGCAGTCTCGTGAAATTATATACTATCTTCTTTAAAATGACTATAGTTTTGCATTAACATCTTCGAGAAGCAGTGGTGGTATATGCTGTTTTGCGCTCAACATCGGTCACATTTTTAAAATACCAAATAACTGCTTTCCAATGACTACGAATGAACAGTGTAGGCCACGGGAAATAATAAAAAGTGTAATATCTGAAAAAACGGTGAATATCTTTCAATTGAAATTAATGTACACCAGTAGACATTCCTTTTTTGATCACTCTGATCCATTAAACAGCACTTGTATGCCAATTCATTAACTTTTGAAGGTGGGGGGGTCTCTTTAGGGCGTTCAGGCTGCTCAATAGTATCTACACGCTTTCTGCTAATGTACTGTACATCCCAAGCACCGCGCATCGGTGCGGTGGATCCATCAAGCCCGATCGACGAAAGGCTGCTAAAATTTGAGTCACTGAACCAAAGTGAGCCTTTATCCATCCCCAGGTCACCTGGTCCGGCTACTCTCAAATCAAGCAGCATTTCCTCAGTCGGGCTTGATAAATCCACCGCACCGATACGGCGGTACATTTAAAGACGGGAGTCGTCACAGTCGCCAAGGGCGTCGATGTCGAGCTCTACTGCCTCGTCACGGGCCATCCGCCGATAGTCCAGTGGCTCGAGGTGCGCGGCGCTGAGCCGACGCCGCTGCTCCACTCTGGTCATGTCGAGGTCAGTGGCCAGCAGCTGGTGGTGCGCCGGGTCAGGTCAGGGGACGCGGGCGTATGCCGAGATCGACGAGCTCGGAGGTGGGCAGCGCGGCGCGGAACACGCGACTGGAGGTGACAGTGACACGCCGCGCTGTCATCGAGCCCAGTCAGCTGCTGGTGACCACCAGCCAGCCCGCTCAGCTGACCTGTCACGTGACGCCGCCCCTGGCAGCCGGCGACATCGTCTGGTTCAAGGACGGCCGCCGTCTGCCCGCCGCCGCCAGCCGGCCGGCTCTGCAGCTGACCGGCGGCAACCGCTCCGTGGCCGGCATGTACCAGTGTCACGTGACCGATGACCTCGCCACCGCCCAGGTCAGGATCGGAGCGTTGCCGGCTCGGCTGCTGTTGTCGCTGGTTCAGCAAACGGTGCAGCCGGTGGTCGACACTGCGGTCACATTCACCTGTGCGGCCACCGCGTCACCGTCGCCGGCTGTCACCTGGACGAGGGACGGCGTCAGCGTCGACCAGCTGGGCGGCAGGTTCCAGGTCCAGGACAGGCAGTTAAGGACGTCACTAGTCAGCTGACGATTCAGCAGGTGTCCCGGGAGGACGGTGGACTCTACCAGGGTGTGGCGGAAAGCTCAGCCGGCAGGGCCGAGGGCTCCATACGTACGGTGTCGGCGGCTACTCGCTGTCGGGACACGTGTGGTGGCGTGCTGGCTGGCCGGTGGCGGCAGCGGCGCACCGCGTGCTGCCTAACGGCCGGCTGGCGGCCGCGCGGCAACCATTCGCTGGCCGTCCACCGCCTGGAGACGGTCGGCGCAGAGTTCTACAGTAGCCTGGTGTTCCAGCGCGTGCGAGCCGACCAGGCTGCGGCGCCGCCCGGCCGAGCTCCGCGTCAGAGTGCCGCCGCGCTGGCTTCACCAGATGGCGGACAGGGAAGTGGCACTGGGCGGCAGCGTCGTGACTTCAACTGTTTGGCGGCCGATCAGCCATCGCCCATTGTTTCGTGGACTGGACTTTCAGTTCAGTCGCCGCGCTCCGAGGCTCCGCCGACGGGCGGCTCACCCTCCGTCGGGCGGCGCCGACGGCTGCCTGTCGCCGCCGACGATCGCCGAGATCGGCGGCAGAGAGTACGGCTACAGCGCCGACAAAGGCGTGGACGAGCCGCTGCGGCGCGCCGCGCCGCACAGCGTTACCGTGCCGGCCCGTTTCCAGCAGCGTCAGAGAGCCGTCTCGGTGGTGCCTGGTGCCGTCCGGTGACCGGCCGCTGCAGCTGAGCTGGTACCGGCGCAGCCACCTGCTGGCGACCCCGACCGAGCTCCGGTGACCCCAGCGGACGGAGACGTCACTGTGCAGGTAACGGCTGCGGACGGCTCCTCCCAACTGACACTGACGGCGCCGGCGGCGCGACGGGCCGACGGCGGTACCTACACGTACGCAACAGTCACGGCGAGGACAGCACCACGCGGCACGTGACAGTGACGGAGCGGCCGGAGCCGCCCTCCGATCGGCGCGATCCGTGCTGGTGGCCTGTCCGCCCAGGTACGACGGCAACAGCGTCGTGACGCACTACGTGGTGCAGTGCGTCGCCGAGCCGCCGGCCGGGTCTG